AAGCCCCCCGGGATCCTAGTGAGGATGAAGCAGTGAATAGATAATGGATGTACATCTTGTTCATTGATTCATGTATAAATTTATGCAAGGGATGGTCTAAAAAATGTTTATAAAGCGAGCTCTCCAATGACAGGTATACAAGTATTTGGGCATTTGCTGCGATCTCCTCCGAACTGTAATTGTCTTTGCCAGCCTCAAGTGTTTCTTTACCATGCACACATAGGACACATGCTTTACATTGTAAAGCACTTTGAGTACCACTAAGGTAGAAAAGCGCTATATAAGTGCAGACTATTTACCATTTACATTCCCTGACCTCCACACATCGGGTAAATTGTTTCTGCCAAACAGCTGTTTGTGTGTGAAGGCCTATAGGTGATACCCACACTTTTATAAGTATATTAGGCAATCATGCACAGCTGCAATTTATGATACTATTTTTCTGAAGAATTATTTGGGGGTTAACTTAAATCATGTTTCCATGACCCATGGACAGGGTACAGACATTGAATAACGGTGTCTGATTGTTTTGCTGTGAAACAGATAAAACCGCCAGAACTAAGTGATATGGCCAACACAAACACACTGCTGAGAGTTGGGAAACATTGTAGGGTCAGGTTGGACACATGCTGCAGCATAAATAACCTAAAAAAGAGTTTCCTAACTGCTCCTGGAGGTCTGCAGGCGCTTTAAACTGAGACCAGGACCAGGTCTCTATATGTGTCTTAAAGATGTGACACAAATGCTACAAAATCTGTGTTCATGTTATATGTCGTCCTTTTTCACAAAGGAAGATAAAAGTTTGCTTTAGAAAGACTAGAAAGGACAAAGAAAGAAAGGTGAGTTCATCTTTTAAATAACAACTGGCCAGACTCTCAGCTGCTTGTCATTCCCCTATACTCTTTTTTTTACCATTTCCTGTCTCTCTCCACTGCCACTGTCAAATGAAGGCTTAAAATGCCCACCCAAAAAACAGAGTCTTAAAAAAAATCTCACTTTCTCTGATTGCAGCTGCTTAAATTTAAGGATTTTCAGCTTCTTCTTGTCTGACATTACAGCACTGGCAATCGGTTCCACACAGTATCTTTGGATTTTGATCTACTAGTTAAAGGTATCACTATGAGAGGGGATTTGTCACAAGGTTTTAATGTCTTTTAGATCAAACTATAAATTGATTAATCAAGAATATATTTGCCAGACTAATTAGTTTAGAAAAGTGATCAGATGCCTCATCATTACAGTTTAAACAATTATGGTTGTATTGCTGTTTTTTTTAGACTAAATATATCAATAATAAAATGATTCAGTGACAGTTGAGGATGCTAGATTTGACTAAAACATAAGAAACTACTTTCCCAGCTGAGTCATCCCCGACATGACATCACAGGCAACACGATATGCTTATATGACAGTTTGTTGAAAGCATATTACATGTGTTGCTTGTGAAATGCAGCGAGCAATATAAGTACTATGCAAAAGCATAGGAAATTAGAGAGTTAACAACATAATAAGGAGAGACGGAGAAACAAAAATACAGACTGCCACATACAGCTTTAAACAGAACCAGACCTGCCTGGGAAATAAACAGGAAACACATGTCTAGGACAGATGGGCAAACAGACCAACGGACAGCGGCAGAAACACTCCAATCACCTGCTTAGTTTCAGCTTCAACACAGCAGAATAAAGGCTGTATTTTACTGTAGCAGCTTTACATTGATCTTTGTAAGCAAGTGATGTATTAGTGGGTCACAACTAACCACTACAGTATTTGTTTTCCTAAAGCTACTGAAGCCATAGGCTCCACATCATACCCAGTCTGTCATTTATTCACAAGGCGTGGCTCGGTCATAAGTCCTGAGTATGATACCTTGCGTGGCAGAAGGAAAACCGTGAGAAAGACATACTCTTGGGGAGTCTATACTCTGTCTGCACTCCCACAGAATATTTGACCATTATGTAGACTCTGTAGCTCACACATCATCCTACTCCACCCACTCCCACAGAGATTCTGCTCACTCCCCCTGGAACACTGTGTTCTGTCCAAAATCTGTATGCCCTATGTAGCAGAGAAAATGAGACACATGTAGTTTGGTTTTATTACTCTAACCTAATTTAACTTTGGTGCTACTACATGCTCAGGAAGACACTTGGAAATGAAAAAAAGAGCCTTAATAAAAAAATGAAAAAAAAACAAAGAAAGAAAATATAACCAGCCTCAGCATGTGGCAGTGTAATCTAAAATTCATAGACTGACTCCCTTGATTGCAAACCTTTTGCGTTTGTCTGAACAAATTGCTGGATTCAGGTGATATCCTTAGTTTCAAAGTGTTATCAGTGAGAGAAATTAGGTGAACAATGAGGTGATGAAATGGTTTTTAAGCTAAACAAAGTTGTCAGAGACTTTCAGTTGAGACCAGTTACACACAAAGACAATGCCGAACAGAAGTGAAGTTTCACTGTCAAAAGACTAGTCAAGGTCTTCCTATGTGTTTCAATGTGGCTGCACATTCAAGATTCAAATATTATATATATGTGATAAAGTATTATCACAACAGAAAGGGCAGGAATTCAAAACTGGCACAATAGGATGATTGCGAATGATTTCAGTGGCTTGCCTTTCAAAGGGATGACGTAAGGTAAAATGTAGACATGAGACAGAAAGGCAAATGTTATGGCTTTCAGCTGAGGCCAATAGTTAAGCTGCTCTTGTTTTATTTGGTTAGGTTTGCATTTGTTTGGATGACTAAGGAGGACTGAAGCAGCTTCCATTTGATGTTAACAAAAGACAAAGTTTGAAAATATTTTCTGCATCAACTGCTTTATGTTTTGACTAATCTGATGCAGTGCCAGGAGGGTGTCATGTTCATGTGTCAGAGGTTAAAGCTGGACTTCCAAATAGTGGGTTCATGAAAAAAAAGAGTGAGTGGGACATCAGCATCAATTTAAGGAAGGAGTAAGCAATGGGAATATGAAGAAACAGGGAAGGAGAAACGGACAAAGAAGAAAGACTGAATGAGGAAAGACTGGAGTCCATTACATTACAGCATGGGGGTGGGGTCTCACCTCCCCCCACTCAGCCAACGGGAAGCAAGCCAGCAGCATAATCAATAACAGGGACTGCTATTTGACTCTGTCCTCCCTACACATGCTCATGAGCCAACAACATTTATGCTATCAAGAACCCTCCCTAGCAAAACACATAAAACCAACACCTTCAGCCGGTCCTCCTTCCCAGAGTCTGCTAGTGTCATCATACTGTAGTCATCAAGTTCTCACCAAATCAAAATTATACAGTTTGTATCCTTTGTTCTGTATACATCTATGTAAGAGGACCTGTGGATTTGTGTTGACAATACACTGTACCTCCTTTAAACTGTCTCATGCCAAACAAAATAACGTGTGTGGTCCTGATACTTCGACAAGTCAAATTACAGCACATCACTTTGTGGCTTCAGATCAAATGCATGGCCTCATCCCCTGCTCACCCACTGCTGTTGTCACTATAGCCTTTGTCGTAGACAAATGATTTGCATGCGTACAAACAAGTACAGGGGAAACCAAAGCAGTATGATATTCTGTATAACTATCATCATAAAATGCCATTCTCTCTCCCACAGTCTGTAAAATCTTACCCAGCATGCAGCCGTAATTGCAGCTCCACAGCAGAAATTAAACACTGGGAACTGATTCGCTCAGCGCCATGTAAAGTGCTGTAAAAGCACCAACTTAACTAACAACAAGCTGAAAAAAAACATCAAGTGTCAGAAAGGAGTTTGTTAAATATGTACTCCATGACCTCTCCATGTTGAATGGTATGGAAACCAGGGGTGTAGCACTGTCAGTACGCCTTGAGACAGGCTGATGTCAGTAAAAGCTGTATGTAGAAATAAGAAAGGACAACATTTTGTTTCGACACCAAATCTATAATGTTACATGCATCAATCTGTCCAGTTGCAAGATGTGTTGAAATGGTATTCAAAGTTAAGCAAACTGTTATCAAGTCCACCAAGTTGGCCTTGTTCCAACTACCAGCTAAAAAATGCAGGCTATGAATCAGATTTCCCAAAGTATAGCCCTGCTTTGCTAAGTTATAAACGACGCATATTTGCTGACCTTTACACATAATACAATTACAAGGGTTATTCCAGTTCATGTATTCTGCCTTGTGTTCTGTCTTGGTCCAGGCTCCTCAGGGAAGTATGTGTCGTGTCTGAGCCAAGGTATTGTGTACAAGTTCTGTTATCCTGTTGTTTGTAACACCATGAGGTTCATTGCAAGGTCTTCAGAGGGTGAGTCATGGTGGAGGTTGCATGTCAATGGTAATCAACACAGAGAGATGTTAAGAGATGTGAAAGTCATGGGTGTTCCAATTAGAGCATATGTGTGGATCCTGTATTTGCTACAACAGCACTAGGAAACATAGCATTACATGGAAATATAAAAAAAAATAAAAATGAAGAAAACAGATGAACAATAAACTGGTTGTTGATGAAGAAGCAAGGCAAAATACACTGAAAACAAGGGAACTTATCAAATCTAAAAACACCCCTCTTCCCCTCCACACCACCAGTTGTGCTGGAAGATACAAGCAAATAGAAGGGGGATTCTGTCATGGAACAAAATCCAAGTCAAACTCCCTTCAGTGGCAGTAGCGTGTGAGGAAAACCATCATCTCACGCAGCTGCTGGAAAATGAACAAGCTTTCCCTAAAATGCAGACTTCCCTGCACATTATCCACCCACACACAGCCATAAACAGGTTTTTTTTTTTTTTTTTAAATATAGGCAACAGTAGCCCTTGCAATAAAGCCAAATTATCAGCCTGCACTGGATTCTGTAAGCAAAGTCTGGAACTCTCCAGAGCTACTTCTCAATCTACCATCTCGACAGAAGATGCATTCCAGCTTTAAAAAGGGTGTGAAGAGTGTCTGAGTATAGAAGTCTTTACATTTGCATAAGTAGCCTACTTGGTGGAGACAAATAAAACATCTGATCTCACCTGTGGTGCCCTCCTCTTCCTCTCTCAGCACATTGTTGTCATCCACATCATCCTCCTCGTTGCCCTCTTTTGCCTTTCTTGTGTTGTCCTTCACCGGGACCACAGTGAAGTTGGTGGGCATTTTTACACCATGTGCTTCCTCTCGATGCCTCCTGTTTGTCACACTCTTATCTCTCCCTGCTTTCTCCTCCCTCCCTCTCTGTTCAGCTGCTTCTCGTTCTCTCCTTTCGTTCAACAACTGTCACTCTTCTCTTCTTTCTTGCTCTCGTTCTCAGTTGTTTGCTTTTTTTTGCTCAGACTTACTGCCTTGGTGTACTTTAGCCTCCTGGGCAGACCCCAAGTCTTACTTCTGAGTTTTTGTTCCTATCGCTAGGATTCTGCTGTCCACCCATGTGACCCCGACCCCCACCGCACCAACTATCCAAATAAGGAAGAACAGGACTGCCCCGCCCAAAGGGGGCAGTACAACAAACACACACTCTCGCAGAAAACATGACATGCATTTGTGCTCATCAGTGTGTGAGAGCATATATACAGCTCTTTCTGTGCCTGGGGGCATATCCCCTGCCCAGGAATGTCGCTCTGTCACACACACAACAAAAGACAGCAATGTCAGCCTTTGTTCAATGAAAGGAGGAAGTCCAGAGCTGCTCCATTCAGGAAAATCTTATAAACACGCAAAAGCACGCATATACATTTCCTCACTTCCTATGCAGTGTTATTTGACCCCGTGTGGATACTCAGAAGTGAGCAGTGCTGTTTTAAAGATGAATACTAGCTGTTGAAACACATGTTCCTACAGAGAGCTAGCACATGTAGTTGGACATGCTTCTGCTTCACATGCAAATCTCATTATCAATGTACTGTAATGTTACTGGAACAATATACAAAGAAAAGGTTACTGGGAAAGTGAAGGAGGGATAGCGTGGGGACGCAAGTAAAAACAACTTACAGCTTTCATCTCTTTAAAACAACCTCCAAATTTAAATATAGCATTAACAGAGACAAACACCTAAGAATTTGGGGGCATTATAGTTTTAATTAGACTGTATTTACAGGGTAGTGAGTTTTTTCAACATAGTTTTCTGAGGCAGTTAATAATAATAAAAACTGTCACCTCATTTGTCTACTTCTTCAAATGACATAACTCCCAAAAAATAGAAAAAAAGAAGAATAAAGACACAATTTCATTACCAAGTACCTCCTTTTTCTTATTCCCTGTTTATTTGAGCAGTTGTATTGCTGCTCATATTAAAATCCATCAGCTGTTCTTATCACTAATCCAAAACCAAAGAGTCATTTCCTCAAAGTACAAGGTTCCTGAAACATGACGAACACTACACATGATACAAGGGATCCCACCAAGCAACAAACACCCCTGTGTATTGGGAAATACGAACAAAACCTCTGCTTGACCAAAAATGAACTCAGATGACCAGTTCTTTTTTATAATGTTTCAGCTCTAGACCTAGAGCACATGGAGACCCACCCAGAACAAAAGCCTTTCCCCAACATGACGACATACCAGATCAATACAGTGAAGGGAAGGGTGGGGGCTACAGGAAACAGGAAAGGAGGAGAACAGAGGGTTAGAGAATCAAAGAGACAGAGATGGGTATGCAGTTCGAATTATCTACAGGACAGCATTTCCTCTTTGTAGCACTATGACTTATGCAAGGCTCAGAGTTACATTCTGAATACTGAGCTAGAGGAAAATTCCCTCTACACCACAGTGGTCAAGAGTATTCCTGAATCTGGGCCCTAATGCTGCGAACATCTTGATGGAAATCTGAAATATCTAGCCACTCTGTCTGTTAGATTGGCATTTCCTTTGTCTGCAGTTGTGACATATAAAAATGGCATAACATTTTCTATTACATAACTGTTCATGTCTGTAAGTCTAGCCTTCAAAGAACAGTCAGCTTTCAATAAACATCTCACAATTTTGGTAAGTGGGTGTGGTTACAAATATGGTGCCGGATCCAGACTACACACACATCAAAACTTCCAGAGAACAGACTGGCAGCTCTAGCACAACTGGAAGCCGCTACTATTTCTACTATTCCAGGGAATGTTTTTGTGCTCGGTGAAAGGGAAGCATTAATCAATACCGTGATCTGACAACTTAATGCTCACTAAGCATTATGGAGCTGCTAAGGTAACAAAGACTGCACTTATCTACTCACTGCTCGGTGGATGAGCAGTGATGTAACTGGCATCCGCTGATTCAGTGGTCAGACAGACTGATTCTCAGGAACAGTCGGAGCACCCAGGCCGAGAGGACAATGTCCTTTTTGTGAGAATGTTCACAATACACGAGATGGACTGAACACTAGGCTAATACACGGTGACATAAGCAGCTCTCAGACAGTTTTTCACCACAGCATAATTGATTCAAGGCATAATATATAAACACTGAAACACAAGTGCATGCATTATATAACTTATTTCTAGACTCTTCTCTGAAAGAATCACAGAGAGAGAAACTAACAAAACGATCCAATATGAAAAACACAAGCTCAGGCAGTCACTCATAAAGTATTTAGTGGTCACAGTCAGTAAAGCTAAAATACAATTTTGGTATTAAGAAATTAGATTAACAGTTTCAAATGGCTCCTAAAGACACGCAATATTTAATCTTAGCAAGTAAACGATCCTCAATTTTGAGTGTTTTCTTTTACGAGTAAACAATTTAAAATCTAAATTTCCATTTCATGACAAGGAGATAAGTTGTTAAAAACATCCATAATCTACACAGTGTCTTTTTCCTGTGGCAAGAAGAAACCGCTGTTTACTGCTATATGGAAAAGCTGGGATTAATGGAAAGTCTGCATAAAGGGTATAATGCATATATGCACAGTCTGTGGTCCTGGCAAACTTTAGACAGTGTGAGTTTGACTGCTCAGAAAATAACAACAGTTAAAATTGTGCTGAACTTTGTCTTTGCAGGCTCAGATTTCTCAGCCCAAAATAGATGCATTCATTGATTCTACAGGGGAAGAGACTGGATTTGTGACACAAAAACCAAGGGCAGGCAAAGGACACAAATCAGGGTGTGGAGAGGAGCTCAGCCGTCTCTTCTTACAGATATTTGATTTGTTGTGTGTTTGACCAAAACAGATAATTCCATCTTTTGCTTTTATTTTCTTTATTAAATCTTTAGTTTCTTTATTAAATCTGCATTTTATTATCCCTGTCATGTTCTCGGGATCCATGACATATTAAACTGCAAAGAGATGTTTATGGGGCCCAAAATGAAAGCAGGAATATCAAATATTTGTTTAAGAACAAACAGAAATGTATTTAATACGGTTGTCTTGATTCAAATAATGTAAAAGCACAACAAATGATACAAAAACAAAAAAAAAGGTTTAAGTAACTGATGGAACTTTTAGTGTAATATGATAAACATAAGATAATAACAATCAGATATTAATGTGCTTTTCTGTTATTAAAGTGGTGTTCTCTTTGCTAAACATCAGTTTCAGAAAAGATTTTTCCAATATTAAGATGCATTTATTTTGAAAAAAAAACATAAATAAATACTGAGTGAGTCTAAGCGAATATTGTTCTTCAGGACATCAACATAGCAAAAATAAAAATGATCTCTACATCCTGACAGCAGTATTAAAATCAGAAAACATTCCTTCCTATGCTTACATCCTGCAGCCTGTCAGAGGCCCAACCAGTGACTGACAGTGCCCCCTAGAGGACACACAAGGAAGGTGAGGATCATTCTACTGAATAGGGCAGAGTAAAACTGCTGTTAAAGTACAATACAGATATAAAGGACATCATGGTGGTCACAAATTGCACTGTCAGCTCTTTAACATGTCATGTGAGTGTAGGTCATGGACTTTTGTCAAATGTCATCTTTCGTTCTCTCTATTTACTTCTTCCTGTTTTCCAAACTACACTGCATGATTTTTGAGTTGCAAAGAAAAGGAAGTCTAAATTGTCAGACACCAGCTTCCAAAAGGTGATTCTTTTCTGGTTTCTTTCCTCCTCCATGACAGTAAACTGAACATATTTATGTAATGGACAAAACAAGATCTTTGAGGATGTCAACAATGATCCACATTTTTCACCACTTTGTGACATTTTGTGGTCCAAACAAGAACTCAGTTAATAAAGAAAATAATGGATGGATTAATCAAAAATTACAATAATCGCAATCAACTGGGCCTGCCCATCACTTTTCTATACGTCATTGAGTATGACTGCATGGTAATTGTTGGATTTCACCACACAGGGCCCTCTGTGGAAACATCTGCATTTATTATGTTTTTCTACACGTTTATTCATGGGTTTTGTTTTTTTTTTAGTAATTAGGTAAGTCGTCTGTAGCTGAAGACTAATGATGATGCTCTATTGCCCCCAATTGATCACATGCGGAAATACACCAGTACAACCCCCAACAAGGAAAATTATGGAAGAGTCTACACATATACACCACAATCAATCAATATACCTCACAATATTAATACAATATTAATTAGAAACTATGTAATCAGCTGGAAACTGGCAAATGGAAAAGGTTTTTTTTTTTCTATGAGCACTGTGGAAACAATGTCAGCCATCATATCCAGTCAGACTTTCCTAATGTCTGATCATGAAGTGGTGACTGGATCATATTTAGTTTCCTTTCTGAAACCTTTCCACGACATTACATTATTTGTCTGTTGCCTTAACTAAGAGTTGAAGGTGAGCTCAAATCCATGACAGCACCTAAACTATATTAATAAATAAATCTATATATATATACAACCACATAAACAGGAGTTAAAGATGGAAAAATGTCTCTAGTTGCAATCAGCTATTCAAAGTCAAGCTAAAGCACAATATATCTAATTTTAAAAAGACCTGTAAAGACCACCCTCTGCATCATTTAAGCCACACCTCAACCATCTCAGGTAGCAGCACACTTGACCGTCACTCATCCATTAAACACTGTATTTAACACAATAGGCTCAGGTGACACTTTTCTCTCATCTGAAGGTTAAGGTGTTTCCCCTTCATATTGCTTTGTGTCCTCTATAATCAGAGGAAACCTTCAAGCTTAATTTTGCTACAACTCAAACCTTGTTACCACTTAGCAGCACCATTGTATGTGTTTTATAAGCTGAAGTCGTATTTAAATTAGAAAGCACCTCACATTGCCCTCAATGTTTTCTTTACACCCTGGCTGAATCAGAGCTGCTCTCAGTTTTTATTGACAACATGAAGAGAGTCAACCACCGAGAAATGTCACATGACTACAATATATCACATATTAACACAACATATAAAATGCTAATTTGTGAGCTTTCCACAGACTTACTCCAAGTAATTCTGTGAATGTCAGACTATTCATTCAAGTAAGTTGTATGATGGAGATC